CTTCCAGAACACGGCCACACAGCCCGGAAGACCCACACCAGCAATCTATTCCACTGTTTGACAGTTCTTACCATCAAGAAATTCTTCCTAATATTTAAGATGAAACTATTTCCCTACAATTTCAACCTTTTTGGTCAGCCCTTGGGCTTCTATTTTTCAACAATTTCATTAATGAACTGGGTGAATAAGTGAAGGGACTGCTTATCAGATTGGCAGAGGGTACAAAACAAGACAGGACAGCTAATGCCATAGAAGACAGAAGCAGGATTCAAAATTATCCTGATAAATTGTGGGGTTGAAAATAATGGAATTAAATAGAATAGAGACCGATATAAATGTCCTCCTTTCAGAAAAAGAAATAAAATTTGGATGGAGAACACCTGGATTGGTAATAGTTTGTGTGAAAAGAACAATGGAATTGTAACTGATCACTGGAACATCTGGAAGGTCAACAAAGCAGGAAGGCACAAATCTCAGAAAACAAGGGAAATGCATTTATAGACTATTGGACTTTATTTGTTTTTTAAGATTATAAATCATCCCCTTGGCCATTTTCTCTGTAAGCTGTATGGCAAGAACCACAGGACTTCCATGGCATTTATTTAACAAACTCGGGGAACAGTTTTTGCAAATTTTATTTACTGATTTATTTATCATTGAAATAAACTGATTTATTTGTTAGATGACATAGGGTCTGGTTACTTGAGATTGGTTATTGCCAGTCTCCCACAGTTTTTGCCCAACCAATTCGATCTGGCAGGGTTGGCATGGCCAAAGTTCCTTTGATTAAACAATGCCATCTATCAGGACCCCCGAAGCGCATGTTCTCTGTAGCAGCCCCTGCCCTCTGGAATGAGGTTCACCCTGCGATCTGGATGGCCACCCCCCGAGTGGTGTTTTGAAAGGCCAGAAGACCTGGAGAGGGTGATTGTAGGACCCTTTTGGTAGTATGGATTACTTTTTCCTCCTGTCCGGTTTGCCATCTTTTCTTTCTTGTTCTGGTTTATTATTATATTGTTTTATTCCTTTTAATATTGCTTACATGTGAACTGCCCAGAGTCATTGAGAATCGGGCAAACTTTATATACAAATTGTAATAATAACTTTATAATATTTAATGATTATTATTTTATCAATATTATTAATATTAAATTATTACTAATATTAATATCCTGTCATTCCTTCAACAGCTCAAGGTGGTATACACAGCACTCCTTCCTCCCATTTTTCTCTCCAATAACCCTGTGAGGTAGGCTTTGGCTCCTTGCCATGCACAAACCCAACGAAGCAATTGTGTTGCTCTGGCATATGGCTGACATTTTATTGACTACAAAAATGAAAAGCGGGGAGGGGAGGTGTCTAGTGCTTACAGTGGGGCAAAAAAGTATTTAGTCAGCCACCAATTGTGCAAGTTCTCCCACTTAAAATCACAAGAACAGTGAGCAAAAATAGGGGAGGTGTCTAGTGCTTACAGTGGGGCAAAAAAGTATTTAGTAGGGGAGGTGTCTAGTGCTTACAGTGGGGCAAAAAAGTATTTAGTAGGGGAGGTGTCTAGTGCTTACAGTGGGGCAAAAAAGTATTTAGTAGGGGAGGTGTCTAGTGCTTACAGTGGGGCAAAAAAGTATTTAGTAGGGGAGGTGTCTAGTGCTTACAGTGGGGCAAAAAAGTATTTAGTAGGGGAGGTGTCTAGTGCTTACAGTGGGGCAAAAAAGTATTTAGTAGGGGAGGTGTCTAGTGCTTACAGTGGGGCAAAAAAGTATTTAGTAGGGGAGGTGTCTAGTGCTTACAGTGGGGCAAAAAAGTATTTAGTAGGGGAGGTGTCTAGTGCTTACAGTGGGGCAAAAAAGTATTTAGTTTTTAAGTGGGAGAACTTGCACAATTGGTGGCTGACTAAATACTTTTTTGCCCCACTGTAACTGCATGAATAACATTACCCTAACTGCAGCAAAAAAACCACCCAAAAACCCACTACTACTTTTTTTTCCAGATTCTGCAAACAAAAACTCAACAAACCATTCCAAACCCTGTATAGTACTATCAGTAGCCTCTGCAGGCAAAACAGCTTAAAACAGCTTAACTGAAATACTCAAAAGAGCTGCAACACTCAAAGCAATGTCCTTGAAAAAGGTCAGATTTTGTTCTGAGGCCAGAACAAAATGGCGCATTCTGCACTGACCTTAAAACAAAACTCTCAGAACCCAAACATTTTATTTTGAGCTCAGAACATTCAACATGGTTGCTCAAGGTCAAAACATTTCAAGATAGAAACATCCTGCACTAAAATTTCCCATCCTAGGCTGTTGCAGGTAGAAATTATTTTTTTAATGAGTAATTATTCTGTAGGAGGGAAAAAATGGGGACTTTTCAGTATAATAATTTTGCCACTTTAAAGGAGAATGCTATTCTCAAAACTCCCAAACAACTTCTCAAAGAATGAAAAGGTTTTTAGAAGTTTCCCTCGTGTGAAGCAAAATAAGTAGCAATGGCATTATTAAGCAATTTTTGCCTGACATTCTGCCTGTTACCGTTTTCTATTGGCAGTGTATATCGCTTTTTTTACAGTTTTCTCCTTGACATCAGCAAGATGCTTCCCCCATCTTACAGTATATTCATCCGAGTAATATCAGCATCAACTAAGACATTTTTAAAAAGAGTGGCTCACCATATTTCAAAGGTTTGCGTTTACAAATGTCCTTAATAATTGTGTCCAGATTGGCAAGTATCTGATCATTAGGCATATCCAGCTGAAAAGAGTTAATGCAAAATTAATGAAGCAGAAAACATTAAATGCTGTCAGGTTAATAACAGTTGTAGTGGCTGGGGTAAATATTTAATCAATGCACTGGGCTTTCGTGTAATAAAAGGAAAAACGTTTTCCCATCTATTAAAGGCTCCAAGTGCTATTAATATTATTACTATCATTACTCCAGCAATACCCTGTTGTGAAAAAAGCAAAGGTATCTTCTATTTTTATTCAAACTCAACCACTGTAAATGAATACTGTAGAACCATTATGTAGGTCATCTTTTCTGGGTTGGGGATAAAATATCTGTCCCTCTGTTTTCTGTAAGATTTAATCAACCACAAACAACTAGCAAGCTTAGGGGAAATATACTGTCCTTGAAAAGCAGAATGGAGGAGAGGAAGACAATATGGGGAGATGAAAGCTATGATCTGAAGTAGAAGGTATGTCCATCGATCTCCCTCTGCAGCGGAGAGGAATCTACAGGTTGTCCTAATAGACGAGAATATCTGTAGCTCCGGGTTGAACTGTGAAGTTCTTGATGCTCTCTGAGCTTGGTGGTTTGCTTGCAGATGTTTCATTATCCAACCAGGCAACATCATGATGTTACTTAGTTGGTTAATGAAACGTCTGCAGGCAAACAGCCAAGCTCAGAGAGCACCAAGAACTTCTACAGGTTGTGCCTGGAGATGACTTTAGTTGGACGTTTCTCAGATAATAACCAGTTTCTATGACTCAGTTGAACAAATTGAGGCCGCACACAGAACCCAACTCCTTGTTTACACTTCTCTGGAACCCCCTGCACCCATAATTCCTGCAAATCAGTTTCTGGACATTGGAGGATAAAAAACACATACAAAAATTTGTAGCACAAACCCTAAAATAGACTTAGCATAGTATGAAAAGCAAATTAAAAAACGGGGGGCGGGGGGGAACCCTGGTCTTGTTTTCAGATTTGACTACCAATAGTTATAGGTACTTAGGTGCAATCCCAAAACATCTGGAGCACCACTTGAACACCATTGGCATTGACAAAATC